GTCGCGCTCTGGCCGGCCATACAGCAAATACTTCCTAGCGGTTTCGTCACTGTCCGAGCAGAGCTTCCAGAGGACTACATAGTCGATATTGAGAACCGGCGAGCGCAGCTGCCGATACATATCGATCGTCCCTACGGCACTGTCCCTGAGAGCTGGCTGATGAGCCTCCCGCAATCAGCAGTCAAAGGCCTTGCAGATGCCTATTTTGCCGTCTTCCACCGTAACACGCCGATCCTTGACAAGTATCATTTCTTCTCAAGCACACTAGGCACAGCTATGGAGAACGAGTTCGGGTACGACGTGGAGTCTGCGCTGGTACTCAATGTGCTTGCCTTAGGTTGCTTAGCTGTCAAGGCTCACGAGGAAGGCGACTTTGCTCTTCCCTCGCGCCACTCTCCAGCCAGACGTGGCTTCGTGCACCCGGATTGGTACGAACTCGTTGCAGATGATCCACCGGGGCTCAAATTCTTCAACGAAGCAAGGCATCGCTTCGGCTTCCTCATGTGCGATAACGATGTTCAAGCAGGTCAATTTTACATGCTTTCGACTCTGTATTATGCTCAGGTTCTCCGGCCTCTCGATTCTTGGACCACCGTGAACAGGGCGGCCCTCTGTTGCGCTAGCATTCTCACCCGCACGGGAGCGATTGACTATGACACATGGGAGGGCGATATGTTATCACGACTGTTTTGGTGTACTTTGATGTACGAAACAGTCATCACACAGGAACTGGACCTACTTCCGCATAGCGGCCTATTAGACTACGAGCCAGATACGCCTCTACCGAAGTTTACCCAATGCCCACGGCCAAAGACGTCCATATCGGGACTGCTTACCGATGAAGAGGACTCTTTCTTCAACTTCCACTTTCTCGCTCAAGCGGCCCATCGCATCATCCTGACACGCGTAAAGCAGAGCCTGTATACCTTTGCGGAGAAAGACGGTTACCCCAGCGCCAGTTTGACAGCAGAAATGCATCACCAACTAGAGCAGTGGCGCGCAAACCTCCCACCGTCGCTTCAGTTCTCCGACACCGACAACGCCAGTGACTCACCCAGCCCTGCACACGTCATCGCGAAGGCCATGCTGCGAAGCCGCTACCTCGTCGCAAAGTTCCACATTGGCCGTCCGTTCCTCTACAAAGCGCTGCATGCACCAGCGTTCACCAGTGATGCAGAGTACAACGAGGTGCGCGAGGGTCTGCGCGGTGGCATGTACTGGCCAACTACCATGGGTCTTTGCACGCAAATGTTGTCGGCTCTACCAATCAAGTTTGGGTGGTGTTGTCAGTGCTTTGGACAGGTGCTATTGTTTCACGCCGTAGCGCAGTCGCCAGACCCAAGATTACGAGAAACGCTGCCGGAAGGATGGCGCGAGTGGGTAGGTATCATGATGACCTTGATCGAGAGTTGTGCGAGAAGCAGTCCTGGTATTGCAAAGGACTACGAGCTATTGCGCTTGTTGGACGCCTAGCTCCAGACGTGTAGTATGGACACGCTCGCGAAACTCTACAGATTGCTGCTGCAACGTCAGTGTAGTCCGTAGGTATACAGCCAACATGATTATATTCATAACGAGTTCGTGTGAGACCCTGCGTCACGCTGCCAGACGTAACACGGTACCACAGATACTCGAGCCAGGCTTTTGTCAGCCGTCGTCGTCGCATTTGGGCACTCAACGTACGACCAAGTCTGCGTTTCAGCAAAAGTCAATTGCGAGAAGGTCGAGACGAAGGAAGACACGATGAGCCTTGCTTGCGGTTTCTAGGATGGTCGCGGTTTATGCTCCGACTGATGCTGATGTTTCAGCACCGCCGCACCCGTGTCGATCCTGCCATCCACAGCCGAGTACGAGAGGCTTGCGTGTACAAAGTGGCTACTAAGCTGACTATCGTAAAGGCGCATGCGGCACCGGCTCGTTGGGCTAACCCAGTGCACGACACATTGCGCACAAGAAACAAGTTGTGAATACATAACACGCCCATGTTTGCATCTCGAATACCCTCATCGCAGTCCCACAGGCGTCGACGGGGAGCATAGCACAGCCACAGGGCGCGCATCCCAGATCTCGGCGTTTCAGCCTTCCAGCCCTCTCCCGGCGCGGCAGCTAAGCCCAATCAGACGGTAGTGGCCCCTGCATTGCTTAGGGATGGAAGCAAGGATCTACCGACTGACACAACTGCCACTAAACTGGGGGCGTGTCGGCCGCCTCCTTTGAGGCAGAGGGACACTTTGCTTGTCATCCTGCCTTTCTTACCACTCCTTTTTGGCTCCCGGCGCAGCGCTTCTCCGGTATCCGCATACATTGCCATTTTTTGCGCACACCACCGTCTTTCCGTGGTGTCCACTACGCGACGCACCCTCCATTGTTCAGATTCGGCATTTTTGGGGAATTATTGGATTGGACTGGACCAACTGGATCTGGATGCAAAAGAACGAGGGCGTGATACTCGACTCCCACGCGCAGGCGAACTGGATCGCATTCTAGGCCTCTGAACCCCAGAGGACGAACCGCGACGATGGCCGACTACTCATACCAATCGCTGGCCAACATGGGTCCACAGGGGAGATGGCGGCGTGTGCTGTTGATTGCCATAATACCCATGGCATTGGCTCTGCTTTACTTCAGCTCTCCTTCATACGTGCCGAGCAGTCTTCGGGCACAGTACGTGTCGCGATCCTTGATTATTTGCAACAACTGACGACGAGGCGTAGATTCCCGCATACGCAAAACATTTCCCTCCCCAAAGACGACATATCCATGGCGACGATAATAAAAGCACTCTACGGCCCGATATTACATCCGATCGATGCCGCGAACTTTACCGACGAGGACGGAGATATATACAGACTAGCAGGGGAACCGAAGTTCAAGAGCAAGTTGGGCAAGAAGGTGCTCATACTGGATATCGACAGTCGGCCGTTGACGGAAAAGGGCCAGCTCATGGACCCGCAATTGAAGTGGAAGGGCATGCGCTCGTTGAGTGCGGGCATGCTCGGGCATTACATGTTTGGTACGTTTTCGACCATACAGGAGGAGACATCCAGGGCCGTTCGGCACGTGGAGTGGACAACGAGCGACTCGGCTAACATCTGACAGCGCAAATACACGGCTACGATTACAAGTTCATCCGCGCACCCGATTACGCCGACCGGTGGGGCACCTGGGTCAAGGTTCCCATGATGAAGGAGGCGCTCAAAACCCACGAGTACATCGTCTTCATGGACTCCGATGTCATGTTCCACTACCCACATCTGCCTCTCGAATGGCTGCTCAACTACTGGAACATGACCGACGATACTCTCGCCATGATGTCCATTGACCCGAACGAACCGCAAAACTACGATGCGAAGGGCAACCGATACTTGAACACTGGGTTCGTGATCGCACGACAGAGCAAGAGGACACAGGAGATGTACAAGGCCTGGGCGGAATGCCCTTCTGAGACCAAGTACAAGGGCTGCGCGCACTGGAAGACCGACTGGGCACACGAACAGGCTGCTTTCGGAAACTACCTGCGCTACGACTACGACCGACCGGACGACATTCGCGTTCTCCCCTGCGTCGAAGCCAACGGTGCACCCGAGGCTGCAAACCGAGGCGGCTGCAAGGGCGTCTTTGTACGACATTTCTGGGTCGACAAGGGCCTGGTGGCTAAGAACCTGGCGGACAGCGTCATGCAGTACTTCCTACCACGATTACACGAGGCGTATCTGGGCTCAGCGAGCGAGCACATTGTCGACGCAAAGGGCTTCAAGCTCGAGGGCGCGGAGCTCATCGAGATGACCGAAGAAGAGAAGGCAGCGGCCAAGAAAGGACAGGGCAAGAACCAGAAAGATGAAGGGTGGTAGGACGACTCTGAACTTCGCAACGGCCTTTGACCCTCACCTCGCGCACGCGCATTGCATTTTATTTCACCAATCTTGCGCCATCTACCGCACGACCTTTATATAACCACCATATACGCCGCTGCTATTTCATGGCAGTACTTTTCTGTCGGCGTCTACAGGCGTCCCACGTCTTATCGTTATGTCTTTGTACAGCGATTTTTCAAGCATGTTACATCATTATATTAGACTTGGGTGGGACGGGCATCAAAGACGGCTTTCCTTGATCATGTATGAGAATTGTTAGGCAAGAATAGCCACTTGGAATACCACCTCTTTTCACGTTGTCGATTGCGTTGAGCAAATACGTTGGTGATGCATAGGTACGTCAACGTCTTTTGTTTACTGATCTGTATCGCAGATATCGTGTGCCGGCCGGGTACCTCCTTCCCTCTCGGCACCATGACGCACGCAACAACCCCGGGAACATCCATGGATGACGACGATCGACTTATCTCCACGAGCGTTACAAAAGCCTGGCAAGAACCACCAGCCTCGCGCAATACGCCACTGCACGCGCCTTCTGCTATCGCGATGCAGTGTCGCAAGCGATGTGCAGTCGCATTGGTGCACTGCACCTCCCCCGCTCTTGTGCGACGCCAACGATAACGACTATATTGCGGCGTGGCACTTCGAGTGGAACGACTGGTTCGGGTTTAGATGTACAAATCTGCTCTGCAGCAGCCGACGTGAGGGGCGACGACATGTATGCATTCCATCTAGTCACGCTTACCAGATCCCGTTCAGTCCGCAAGAACGAGTATTTTCCTCTGCACTTCACTTGGATGTCCCGTCGATGCAGACGTCATGAAGCATTCTATCGGCAGAAGATTGTTTGCAAGAAACAAAAGTTCCGGACACGTCGACAGCGGGCAGAAGCGGTCTGCTACCAGCTCCTCTCGTTCGGAGTCTGAATCATTGATCCCTCTTACACCCAAACCCGAGCCTCAAGCGATACCACAGAGCCTATTAACCCATACTCTCGACCAGCCGGTTTAAAATCTATCGCATCCGACGACCATAATATCACCACAGTGTCAAGGACCACGCATTGAGAAACCAGATCTTTAGCTGCTGGCTCTTGAGCGCTCTGGACTAAGCAATGAGCAGTCACTAGTACTCCTCAGTCCGCCTACCGGAGGTGAGACCGAGCCATGGTCTCCAGTTCAGTTCGTGCAGGAAGTCAAAGATGTCACTCGCGACCGGTACGTTGAGTGCGAAAAGAGCGGATGGTTTGCCAAAATTGGAGGATGCAAGGCCGTCATCAAACAACGGGCCGAGACGGTACTCATCGCCGTATTCGAGCTCAAAGATTTCGCTAGCGAAGGACTAAAGTACGATGTCACTAGATAAGGTGCGACAGCATGATCTATCATCACCTTTGGCCTATGGGTAAGAACTGGTACTGGAATTGACTGCTCGTGATATTGACAATGGACATTAGCTTGTGCAGAACGATCTCGACAGAACACAATCCATATTCGAAGCTTCCGCTTTCCTGGCGGATCTCCTTGCACGCTAGGCTAGTATCCTCCTGTCCAGCAAAACCAGCCAGCAATCCTTTCCAGAAACTGAATAGCAATGTCTACATGGCCGCTCTTATTGTTGACCCATGCCACCAATCTGCTGAAAGACAAGTCATTCCAAGTTCTTCATACCTCCACCACCTCTCTTCTGGTATTCAGGTTAAATTCTGAGCTTGACCATCTTGTGAATGGCGCCATGCATAGGGTCACTGGACCTGATCTCCGCGCTTGATTCATTCTCGAGCTTTAAAAGCTTTGGCTGCAGCACAACAGTTGCTTTGTTTGGCAGGTCAAGTAGTGCTCGTCGGTACTCATCGCTGTCACTGTTGATTTGTAAATGCAAGTGCAGAGAAGTGCTCAGTCGCACCGTCAATTCGGTGAGCTTGGGGAATCGAGTCTGCCAATCCTGCCCTCCTGCCTGCTGTGGCGCGTTGGGAGTAGCAGTTTTGTGGACAGGTCGGGGACGGAGAAGCACCAGCCAATCGTTCTCTAACGACGGCTCCAGGCACTGTGCCGCGTTGTCAATGCGATTGTACAACTCCAGCTGTATCACCAGTTTGCGAACGTGATTACAGAACACAAATGGAGGGAAACGCCACTTGTCGTCGGCGCCCGGGGTAACGTGCCCCCAAGACACGCCAGAGCGCCTAATGACAAAGGTGTTGTCGCTGTAGTACACTTGTGCGGCAAGGGCATGCATGCGCTTGTTGACGAGTAGCAAAGTTGGTAGGTTCAAACCTTCCTCGATGGCTTTGTGGTTCCTTGCCATGATGAATTTGTTGGTGCTGAGGGCGTACGTGAGGATTTGGACCTTGAGCTCATCGGGAAGGGCGTCGAAGCCGACGCGAGTGCCGCCGAAGGGTATGTTCTGAGTCATTGTTAGCTTTGAAAGAGTGAGTTAAACAGATGAGGTAGCCGTGAGGTTCGGCGTCTGGTGTATTGTAGCAGAGAGAGAAGGAGTTGGCGATATGAGTTGTTGACGTGCCAACTAGTGCGTGCGTCATTAACGCGCGCGCGACATGTGAGAGCAAAAAGCTGCGGTGACCAGTACTTAGGCAGCAGCCTCTGCGTTTGCTCCATATGCTCAGCTCGCTAGATGACGGCACCCTTGATGAGAAAAGCGGTGTCAGAGCGGGATGGGTGTGGCGGTAGACTTGGTTCACCTCTCTTTTTGCCTGTTCGTCTCCATACTTGGACTTAGTACGGACTAGAGCGATTAGCATGCTATTCATCACTCTTGAAGCGCCAGGTATGTCTACTAAATAACAGTGTTACCTTCTGCTCAGCACATATGGCTACTTAAGACCTCATGCGTCTTCGTTGTCGTTGCCAGCAGCTTCCAGTGTTCAATGATATCGGCGTGCTTATTGCAATAGACACGCGCAATGCTATTGTGGCATTCCAGCGTCAGGTCAAGTTCCACCTCCTTTGCCTTGAACAACGTCTTTGTGTCAGCTAAGCACGCTCTCGTTTCCTCTATCAATTCAGGCGACATACAACAGTCTTCATCGCCTTCTGTGAGATTGTCATCATCAAAGAAGTGGAAGCTGAGCTTCAGAGTATGCAGGTTCGTGAATCCAGTTTGCCAGGCATTGTAGTGGGGTGCTGTCATGAGCCATCTCGATCTCACGATTGGTAAAGGCAGGCCCAGTTCGTTCGATTGTAATACGGGCCTTGTTGCCTGCAGCATAAAGGCCAAAGGTTGCGAATTGCACAGTAGTATATGTTCCAGTCGTGAAACATCCATGGTGTAAGCCTTAACGGTAACGCGTAAGTGCCGAATCATGCTTGCTATTTCTGCAGGAGGGCAACGAAAGGTGACTCGTTGAGACGAATGAGACGGTTTCTCCTCGATACAGATTTCGAAGACATTGTTGTTGTAGTAAGCGGTCCGGGCCAGCCGGTACAGTTCCTTGTTCCGCACCTCATAGATAGGTTCCATATGTTTGCGGAAGATGACTGTATAGTTACTGTCTGCCACGGGGCTTTCAGGAATGTCACCAACGACAAAGCATAAGACATAAATTTTCAGCTCCTCGGGAAGGTGTGCCCATTGCCTGAGCGATGGAGACAATGTTGCTGTTGTGATGCCGTCTTGATCTTGCTGGGTCATTGTAGGTATATGACAACTTTGGATCTGGTTGTGACTCAAGGTCAATGAGCATGTCTTATACCATAGCTAGAAGTTTGCTCCTGTATGTCAGCAGGGCATATAATCTGCGGAATGACTGTGACCAATCCGCTCAGACTTCATGCTCAATGTCAGCGACCCTTGGCACCCTATGTAACCGCAAGCCACAGAAGCTGGCGACAAGCTCGATCTATGCCTGGTTAGTGCACGTTACGAGACGGAGGTTGACTGCTATCTTACGCATTGCTGAATTGTCTCCACGTCCTCCTTACTGACACCGATGCGCCTTGTCCCGCGCAAATGCCAGGCTGTCTCTCTCGGCAGATTTTGTATCATGATGCCGCTGAGTACGGTGAGCTCGGTCTCGACGTCGTTGAGGATGCTGTGATCGGATAGATAGAGGCCGTAGGTGATTTGCTTGCTCGTCCAATCTATACTGCGTTAGCTCAGGATCAGGAAGCGGCCAGGGGCTACATGCCGAAATCCTTTTGTGATGCCAACACGTTGTCGATGCCCTCCTGGTTGTGCTGGTACAATCGACCTTGCCATGCTGCACCACGTTTTGAGTTCGCTTCGTCACACTGCCATCCCTCTCTGCTTGCTGTCAGCTTCCGCAATCGCCTGCTGACGACGCACGACTTCATACCTAGAGAATGTATAATCCTTGTCCTCTGGCCTCGTGATGGCATCGATGTCGAAGATGGCTTCCAACGGCTTGCACACGCCCACGATGACGATGAGCTTGAACAGTGTCTCTCGTATCCTCCGCATCAACGCCTGACGCTTTTCAGGTGTTTGGCATTCGGGTCGCTTGATGAGTTCCTTGTAGAGCAGAGGCGCGAAGCCCGGCTGCCCGCCGCCTACCATCGCCGCGAGCTATAATGGCTTAGTCAATGCTCTCGTCTGTGTATAAAAGACATACCATACCAGAAGAACATACCACTTGTCATCTCCAAGTGACTGCGATGGGAACTTCTCCTCTATGGCCTTGAACAGGGCAAGAGCTTCGTCATCGGTTGGGTCGCGAGGTATCGGGATAGTAGTGGTCGACATGGTGTTATTCGTGCGATCAAGGCGGAGTTCGAAGTAGGATGTTGCGCCTTGCTGGATGGTTGCTGGCTGTCGTCATTGCGTGTTCCGATAGTCGGGGTGGACAAGTAGGACCGATCGCGACTGCGACGCGTCTTCGGAGGGGCGCGTCGCGCTAAAGCGGGGTAAACCTCCACCCATCACCACGCCCCACGGAGAAACGCGTCTTTCCCCGGAGGGCAGCTTGTTCTCTCAAACCACCCACATATACGCGAAAACAAGGCTGGAATATGTGAAAACCAGACTGGGTGGTATGCTCATTTTGGATCAAACATGGACACAAGCGCTTCGTGCTATCACCTTCTCAACAACAAGCCCAAGACTGTCATCATCACAGGCGGCGCAAACGGCATCGGCGCCAAAACAGCCCGTACCTACCATGGTCATGGCTGTAATGTCATCATAGCTGATCTTCCTTCCTCCAGTGACGCTGCCAATGCCCTCATCGCATCTCTCACAGAGCCATCACGGGCCCGGTATCACCCCACCAACGTCACTAGCTGGCACGATATACAAGCTCTCTTTCGAGAGACGAAAAAGACGTTCGATCAAATCGATATCGTTGTTGCGAATGCAGGGACGATGGAGAGTAAGGGTTTCTTTGACTTCGAAGAGGACGAACATGGGGAATTGATGGAGGCGACTGAAGCTGGCAGGGTGATCGACATTAATCTCAAGGGCACTATGAACAGTGAGCTACATTGTCTCACTAGTACTCTCCTGGTCTATCTCTAACATCATGTAGCTGTCAGGATGGCTATGTACTCCATGAAGTCAAACCCACCGGACTTGGACGGTGCACGAGGCTCTATTGTACTCATCGCCTCAACGTCCGGGTATTTTGGCGGGACTGGAGTAGTCTCATACATCTCTTCCAAGCATGGCGTAGTAGGCTTATCACGAGCCTCACAATCCGTTGCCCGACAGCTAGGCGTCCGAGTCAATGTCGTTGCACCCTTCTTTACCCCTACGCATATTACCTCGGGTTACTCAGAGAAGTGGAAAGAGAGTGGTCTACCTGCGAACACAACCGAGGATGTCGCTGATGCCATCGTGTCTACAAGCGTGGACCCTGCAAGACAGGGTCATAGTATGATGGTGAGTTACAATGACTCGATATGTGGCGAAGAAGTAGTGCTGATCGAGTCACAGGTTGCAGGCAACTTGGTCAGAGAGATCGAAGAGCCAAGAACTACGTCAACGAAAGATTGGTTAGGAGAAGATATTTCTGACATCATGACGAGAGGTGGCAAGTTTTTCAATGATTTGGGCGGTTACACGCTGCCCCAAGCACGATCTTGAGAGCTTTTGCGGGCTTATCTCACGGCCGACCTCATACAAGGCAAAGCTGAACAGGTCTACAGGCTACATTTAACCAAAATCTTGCAAAGTAGGTGACCTAACGTCAGCCTAGGCCCTAGGGTGTTCAGCTTCTCCTAGGTTGGCGTGGGCCCGTGATTTAGTGAAAGCTCGAGCAACATGCTGGCTGCCACCCCAAGTCTGCACTCATGTTATACCACTCACTCCTGCAGGCTTATTCTTAATCCCAAGCAATTATTCCCTAGAAACTGTTTCCACTCCACCACTGTCGACTCAACCAACCCGGCCTCCCCGCATTATGGAACTAAAATTGGTCGTTCAACCCAAACGCTCTATCAAGCGCTTTCTCGCTCGCTTCAGTCTTCCCGGTATCAACAGATTTCAGAAGTCGGTTCGGTCCAAGCGCTCCATCGATTATTTTATAGCTCTTCCAGATGAGCTTAACTTACAAATTCTGCGCCTAGCTCTACCCAATCGACAAAAGTTTCGGAGGTCGTGTCACTGTCGAATCCGCGAGTCCTATACGCACGATGCACTCGCCTGTTACAAAGAATGCTGGCTAAATCTTGTGCGTGCAATCCCTGGGATGGCCGGAATGATCTATGAAGTCTTCTACGGTCAAAACACCATGGTCGTTTGCAATCCGTTTGCGGTGGAGAATCGCGCTTTTCCGCCACACTCAATCAATAAGTTTGTTCGGCATCTCCATATTAACATCACACTCACGCTCAAGAGTCTGAACTACATATCTCGGCTAGCTAATGGCGATATGGGGTTTCCAGATCTACGCTCCGTGGAGATAGACATCGATGGTCGCGTTTTGCCGTACCTCCGATCGTCGGTAGAGGCAACCGAAACACTGGACCTCACGGACGACGAAAATGAGTTCCCGCCCGCAATCGAGGAAATGCGACACTCTCTCAAAGCTATGGCACCAATACTTTTCCACACGCAGAAACTAAAGATCACATACAAACATGCCTGGCTTACTGTCACGGACCCTGTATTGATATTGATACGTACCCAAGTCTGTGATCCTGTGGAAGAGCTGCTATTGCAAAAGATTGCGATAGCTGAAGCTCAGAACAGCGACGCGAAGTTATGTCGATACTACCGCTCCGGGGAATCGCCTGAATCAGAGAAAGAATACGTGGGTACGTGGCCCGAGAGAGAAGCGGTGGGTATACCTTTGTCTGACCGTGGCTTCGGGCGCACTTCAATCAAGCTTCTGATCAAGTAGATGAGAAGCTGAGTATAGATCTTGGACCGAAGTCGGCAGTGAGGCAATACCCCTGTTCGTTCTAATAGACCTACACACCGCCTTCGGTAGATAACTGCTGAGCTTGAATAAATATATATAACAACTCATTGGGTTCGTGATAAGAGTCACTGAATTGCCTCGCACGGGAACGGTCAAATAGTCTGTGACGACTTTGAATACCTCTAATTGAATTTTGACACCTCATATCCGGTTTCATGTTCCATAGCCTTGGAGCCAAAATATCGAAGTGTCGTCGTCCGCATCACTCCGCGGATCGTCCCATTCAGTGGCAACGACAAGTAGTCTGGTTTAAAGATGTGCCCGCCCTACTTCGTCGTTATCTGTAACACGTGGGTGTACTCGAATAACTCGCAGGCCGGCTCATAAGGCCACACTGCGTCTTCGTCACCTTTCAGTATGGAGCCATCTTTGTTCCTATAGCAGCTATACCTCTCCGACATATCCTCGTGCAGGCCGATCTTGCTCAGTAGTCTGTCTGCGAATGCACCTAGTATGCTTGCTCGACCCGACAAATCTCTCCAGCTATCTCTGTAGCCTACGTTATCAGCATATGCGCAAGATACTGAGATGGTCTTGTAAGGGAATACGATAGACTCCATATTCTTTAAGACCACTGCGACATGCAGTACTAGAGGCTCGCCGGACTGACGTGTTAGGAATGTAGGCTCTCTCAAGATGACTATCATCCTTGCGGCCGTAAGTCTGATATCGATATCGACGAGCTTCTTGAACCCAAGCCTCCCCATCGCTAGCTGGCGTAGAAATCGTATACCATTCTCAGTCATGTGTATGCGCACGCATAGTCGCGGAATTAGCGCATTTATCCACCCCGGAGGGTATGGTATGCCGCCAAGTGGAGAGGTCGTTATCAGGATCTTATTCTGTTTCAACAACACATCGTATACCAGATACTTCAGTTCTGGAATGGCCACCAAGAGTGGCAAGACTTGTTTCGTGAAGTCGAAGGTATGAAGCTGATTTCCCTCGAAATCCGGGCGAACAAAGAACTTGTTGGAAGGTAGGTATCCGGACAGTACCATCAAATTGATCTCCTCCGGTAGAGCGAGGAGAGGGGGGCGTGAAGTAGTAGTTTTGGGCATTGCCTCGACCGGTAATGTGACGAGACTGGAGCACCGAATCTGCTGGGCTTTGATGTCTGCTTGCTTCATAGTATCGTCGTTTTGCTTATTCTTGTTCAGGAACTTGAGGTTAGTGTTGATAGTTGGGTTGGTCACTCATGAAGATAAGAACCAACGCAATGGCGACCAGTCTTATACTCAGGGCGGTTGAGGAGCGTACGAATTGCAGTAATACTGAGGAGTACATTGACGAATACATTTGGCGGGTCGTAGTTGCACGGTTGCTGAGTCCCGTGTTGGCAACTACGTACGGGCTCATAGCGCCCAAACAAGGACTCAAGTAGGCACTGAGGCAGACGTTCATCCAAAGCGGTTCTAGCGTGGGAATGAATGCGATGCGCGGCCAATACCGCTAGGCCGTTGCTGCGAATGTCCATGACCTGTGATGGTGCGAGAATTTCACGGGCCTCTATGTCGGCTTTGATCGCGTCGGTTATATTGTGAAATTTGCGCATTGGATGACCGAATTGTCATTGGGCGATGTGTAGGAGTAATAGACTTCACGAGGCGATCACAGGGTTCATTTTCGTCTTAGTAATCCTCGAGCGAGCTTTGGCCCGGTGACGTTTTCTACGACCCTCGGCAACACCAACTTCTACAATCTGTCCAAACGCCAATTGAAGCCTCACGACAGACTCTCTGCACCATGGCGTCCTCAAGACTAGTTTCTCGCTCGTCGCGCGCTCTCTTCTCCCTCCCGCGCACCCAATGCCGCACATTCAGCATCTCCACCATCCGTAGCAATGAGTTTGAAGCTCTCAACAAGCGCACAAACGACACCTCCGAGACGTACCGCAAATACCAGATCGAGAGACCTCTGAACCCTCACCTGACCAACACCACATCTACCATTGCCAATGAGATGCCTTCGATTGGCAATGACGCAGCCCCGCCCGAGCTGATCACCAACGCCGACGCCAAATTCACACCCAAGGATTCTGTGCCCGAGAACACTGAGCGCATGACAGGCGGTACACAGGGTAGCAAGGACCAGGACGTTAGCGGAGCGAACAGCGAACTGGGTGTTGGCGAGATGGAGGGCGCCAAGTTCAAGGTCGAACCTATCCGCAGGACTGGCGAGGACGCGAACACCATGCGTGCGAGGTTATTATGTCCGTTCATACACTGCCCGTTCCCTATTCCCCATGAAATACACAATTTGGTGACCGGGACGAAACATGGCTAACGCACAATCAGATCAGAGCCGCAAGAGGGGAACCCTA